GCAGGGTGGGTGAGCTGAGGGAGTCGGAGGACTGCTCATTGCTGCTGCTTCCTCTCCTGTGGGCGACGCCACAGGTGGAGACAGTCTCTGCCTCTGGGAAGGTGAATACAAATGAAGACGTGTAGGTAGTGCAGGCTGGGGTGCAGGTTACTACAGGTGTGCACAGGGGCTCGAAGTCATTGGTATTAGCTGAGGTGTGAAGAGCCTCCCACTCCTGACCCGTGTAGAGGGAGCTGGACAGGTCGACCTCTGGCACAGACCGTGCCGTCTCCATCTCCGTCTTTGCCAGGAGATCCAGAGACTCCTCCAGGACAGAGGACTCCAGGTCTGACATCTTGACTGTGCTGCTAGAGATGGTGGCTGTGGAGAGGGCGGCGCTGGCGCTGGAGAATATGGAGTTGGAGGTTGAGGTGAAGGTCGACTGGCTGGAAGCGATAGCGGGTGTCTGAGAGACGGTGATCTGTGGCTGGGTGGACACTGCAATGGAGTGGCAGGAGTGGGTAGGAGAGAGGGAGGTCAGGGGGAAGTCTGTGCCCAGCTCAGAGGGGATTTTGCAAATGGGCTGGTGGGCAGCCAGAATGAACTCAAGCCTCTCCTTCTCCTTCAGCAGGTTGGCGATATCATTCTGCAGGTTGGATTTCTGGTCTTCCAGGATATCAGTTTCCTGTAAGAGAGAGAAATGGAGGAAGTTGCATCAGCTTGGCTGTTGGATAGCTTTGCTATAGCTCTGACAATAAACATGTTTCAATGAGTGATGGTAAATCTGATGGGATACTTACAGCTTGCAGAGTGTCTGTAAGCTCTCGCCTCCTGTTGCGGCATTTTGCTGCTGCCTGCTTATTCCTCTCTCTGCGAATCCTTCTCTTCTCCTCTTCCTCAGGTGTCATCTGCACATGATAGAAGGTAAAAGTTAGGACCCCTGCTCTTTAATAATCTTAGTCTATATATATACATAACACTTCATGAACGAATGATAATTACCTGTTCCACTTTGCCTCTCTTGGTGTGAGCCCTGGACACTGCAGATTTCATGACTGCTCTTGAGTATGCGGGGCTAGGGCTGGAGGTGTAAGGGTGAGCTCCGTGGGAAGGGGCCACTGAGGAGACCACAGGCTGGACCATCCACTGAAGATCTGGGCTTGTGGAAATGGCTGTGACTGTGGGGATGAAGGAGGCACTTGATGCTGTCAGGTCTGTGAAATCCTGGAGGAAATGAAGTAAAAAAGGAGATCGTCAGGACGTTTGGTACATTATCAGGAGGGGTGGCAGCATTGCAAGATGTCTATGAATGAAGCACGGAGGGTCTATAAAAAGCTGGATGGTTTAAAAATATCCTTATGATGTCAGCTATGACGTTACACTCTCTCTATAGAGTTTCCAGGTGGATGAATGAAGCTTGCCTTGCACTGTGTGGTGCGCAGGTCAGAGTTATATACATATACATATATATATATATATATATATATATATAAACCTCAGTGGGTGCTTTTCTTAATTTCCAACCAGCCTTTTTCATTATTACCATTATTATTATTTGAAAACATCAAATTTAAGCTTTGTCAGTTTAATTTAGTAAACATTCAAATCTCCAACAGGTTCTTTCTGAGCTGAAATAGCGTGTTGTAAAGATTTAACAATGTTTAAGCGGACATACCTGAGATTGGGGAGATCCCATGCTGGAGTAAGATCCCGCTGGTGACGGGTAATATCCCAGAGTGTCCACGGACGGGGAAGCGGTGCTGCAGCGAGAGGAAGAGTCGCAATCCGCGTTGAAATTGAACATCATCGTTCCTTTTTTTCCAAAAAAAAATTAAGCAAATAAGAAGATCCGGACAAAGTCTACAAGGTACGAATGTAAACTTGAGGTCAGGATAGTCCTTTAGTGGGTTTGCGAGAAAACTCTTCAAGCGCTGCTCCCGATCAGTTCTCTTTAGTCGCTGTTCTGCTACTCAAAGTTAGACTGCCAACTCTCCGAGCTGGGCCTTTTTTATAGTGTGTCTGCTGACGTAGAGAGGGGTGTGCCGTTCACCCGACACCAGGAAGGAAAAAAACACCAAAACACTGACTTAACAACGCGGTAATAACACCGACTTTTCCTTGCGCTCCATTTAAATTCAATACACTTTGTTTGCACGAGTCACGAATGAGTCATTTACAGGTGATAAGTGACTATTTAAAATGTTTATTTCTAAAACTCGTCTTCAAGAAATGGAATATTCCGGAGCGGGATCCCCGATACGTAGGTATCCATATATGGTGCATCCTGTGAAGGAGGCGGGGTCTGATGGGAAATACACCTTGAGAGTGGCGGACAGCGGCATGACGTTATGTAAAACAACAAACACAGACGCTGTTGTGAAAACTTGAAGAACTGAGATAACAGTGAGGAAAAGTGCGTCGTACACAGCAGGGACACAACTAAACATGCAAATGTGTCTGTGCTGAACAAAATGTACCAAACAAACACATTAAAAAATAAAAATCTGTTTCTGTTTTTTTTTAACCCCCTCCCCCAGCCGCGCGCCTCCTCTTTTATTTGTATTTTTGAAATATAGAAACTCAATTCTATCGTGCAAACTTTCGGCTTGTAGTTAAGCACTTTGTGATATTCATCTTGAAAGGTGGTATATAAATAACATGTTATTTAAGTACTCTCTAACTTCACTCACTGACTCACTTATCGGTGTGTTTAATGTGTTTAATTTGATAAATGGTTACACATTTAATGCAAGACAATTCATACAATCACAGAAGGTCCATGTTTGCATGTGTAGGTAGGTCACAAAGTACAAAGAATAATTAGAATAAAGATAATTAATTTAATTGATTTTCACTTGATTCTTGATTGAGTCTGTCTGTTAAACCGACTTTTAATGTACTTATTTATTTAATTTTTTATCCATGTATTTTTCTTATTTAATCCCAGATGCGTTTATATCCAGTAAGTTACAATGGATTTGTTTCATAGAATTGTCTAAAATATCTCTACATAAACGTTACATGTCAGGACATGGGTGACATGTTCTCCACCCTCAGGTACTGTTTGTACTTTTCGCCTGCAATCCAGAACAGGGCGTGTTTAGTTGCAGAGCGAGCTGATAACTGGTTTTCTGTGTGTACGTTTCCTCGACGACAGTTTACATTTCTCAAAGGAGGGGACGGGGAGGGGTGGCAGTTAATTGTAAAGGTCTTCCCCAAAACCACTAGCAGAGGGAATCCTCAAGATTTACGTAAGAAGCTATGAAACGAATTCATGAAATGCAGGCTTAACGGTGAGCCAACATTGCGACTGCATTTGCTGTTTAATAACTGTTCATTCTCTGACATCAGCACTTTTTTTAAATTATCCTGTTGACTTGAGAAGTAGGTCTGTGGAACAAGCATCGTGACTTTCGTGCAATATTACCAAAGTCAGCAACATTTTGCTGGTAGTTTTGTTCATCGTTTATTCTTAATGAAGGCGATACATTCATGCACATAAAAAACACGAGCAAAGCATTTTATGAGTTTTATGAAAAACAATTCATACTTTTCTTTTTTTTTCTCTCTCTCTTTTGAGTCTTCCGGGAATTCCCTTCTTTAACTAAACAAGCACAAAACAAGCACCATAAGTGCTCTCGTCCCATTAAACAAACCATAAAGACTAAACAAAGGTGTCATTGTGTCAAAAGACTCTAATTCAGGCTATAGGATTTTGCGCTTTCTTTCCCGCGCCAGTGTTTTGTTGAACATTCCTGGTTGTCATAGCGACGCCCAGCCCCTTTCGCGTCAGTGACGTCCATTTAGTTTTTATTTTTTCATAGCAAGAAGATCGTGTGTAATCATGAGGAGCCACATCAACAGAGAAACACCAAACCGGCTTTTTACGGCATCGCCTGTGGAGACGGAACGTGCACACGAACACGTCAGGGGCCGTTCCCGGTAACGACGTCGGAGTGAGAGCTCTGAGTGTTTTCAAGTCTCTGACAGTACTCCCCTTTCCTCGGTGTCTGCGGGTCAACGGAATGGAACGGGACACCAAACAAGCCGTTTACCTTGAGCGGTGTTTGAGTTCTGTTTGAGTGGTTGGCATGAAGGTTGCTGACCTGCACTGTTTGAGTGACCTGGTTTTTGCTAATGTTATTTCGTGTTGGAATGAGAATTTAATCGAAATAAAATTATAACAATAACAATAATAAAGAAAGAAAGAAAGAAAGAAAGAAAGAAAGAAAGAAAGAAAGAAAGAAAGAAAGAAAAGCAATTTCTAAAAGAAATAATATATTTTATTGCTGGTTTTGAAGGCATTTAAACTCGTATCCGGCTATCTAATAGCTCAAGTTATTTTCTTTTTTTTTATCGCTGCTCTTTGGCTCCTCAAAGGAGAACAGTTCACTAAAATGACCGTAAACTTGGATGCCAGTGAATCTAAAAATAAACTCCACAGTCTTTGCGCATTCACGCTCAAGTTGCTTTGAAGAAAACGACTGTTAGAGATGTGCTAAGAGGTGAGTATTGTTCGACCTTTGAACTTCGTTTAGTCCCAGGCCGCTCAAGCCGACCACCAATAGTGATGTGCCGGTAAATGGGTGGGGGGGGGGTTGCCACTGCCGGGAAGTACCCGGGAGCACAGAGCAAACAGGGGGAGCCTCTCACTCTATCCAGCGCTTATCCCTTTCACTTGGGTGGATTCGTGAGGTCACATGAAACCTAAATATAGCCCAATCCGGCCCGCAAGTTCTCGTTATGGGAGCAGAATTAGGTTATGCGGGAACATCAATTAAAGCCCGGGCTTTAATTGGTGCCGATAAACTGCATTACAGTCTGTGAGAAAGTAAGTCACGTTGCTCTTGTCTAGAAATTATGTCAGTCACTGGCCTTCTTGAATTTTCCGATACCCTCATGAGTGTGTTTGGCACATCTGCGGCTGCACCTAATTGCCACCCTTATATGGAAAGGTGGGTCAAATCCTTCGCATCCTCAAACTAACGCATGTGCTGGCATTCTTGGCGCAGCTGATGACGCTGATATCAGGTACAACACAGGGTCAGTCTCTGAGAGCTTGTTTTACTTTCTTTTTGCGGCAGTGAGTGAGTGGGCCACACACAGCCCGGCAGCGTCCGTCTGCGCGCTATCCTTGTGCCACAGCACGCCCCCCCTCTCCCCCCCATCTCCTCCCGGAAATACCATATATGGCTCGACCATTCGGCGATTGGCTGCTTGGCTTCAGCGACAGTTCTGTTGCTGGAGCTCTATTCATATGTAGAGACAGGTGAAAGGCAATGTGATACGTGAATGACACTTAATTATGACGGCTTATAAATAATCAGGCAGTGTGCTGGAAGCTTTGTGAAATAATTAAATTAATGCCGGATTTTATTTTGTGTCTATAAATAGAAGTTGGAACATTAGTGCATAATCATTGTTCTAATGTGGACAGTTTGGAGGAGAAAGAATCGGGGAAGCACCACACTGGCTATTTTAAAACCATTTATTAATGAAGCCTATTACACTACCTCCACTTTCCTTCTAATGCATTGAGAGCTCGTGTTACCGTAAATGCCCAGAAGCATTAAACAAAGGCTAAATGTCGAGAACATCTGAGGGCATGACGGGAACATATAGCCTGTGATGCAGATGCTGCATACATGAAGTGACGTAGTTCATTCATGGCGGTGGGCACCTTTTGGAGGGAGGGGTGCCACTTTCTATGTGCACACTTTTTTAAAAAAAACATTTGAGTTCTGATAATAAGCTGAAATTAAACATTGGGCTAGTGTTGATTTTTACGCACTTCAGTGATTTGATTGTTGAACTGTAAAAAACCCCATCTGCTAACCCCTTTCTCCAGTCACTTCTCCCTCGGTGAAATGGTTCGGTCTCACCACACAGATTTCATTCATAAAATTCCAGCTCACTATAAAAGGCGGGCCTCTCCACTATGTGCACAGTTATGAACCTGGCAAATGGAATATAGGCGTCCGGGACATCCGTTTTCTGTCTAGCACAGACTGACTGTTCAGTCTCTTATGCGGTGATTTAATTTTATTTTGAATTTTTATTTTTTAATGAAACCATGCATCCAGACTCCAGCACTGAGTTCGACTTATCGTCCAGCTGTAGCACAGCATCGCCTGGCGGGGACACCCCTGGGTGCAGTCAGCATCCTCCTGACTCGCTTTCATCATCAGTGGACAGCACCAAGGTAAAGCCGGATCTCATCATTACACACACAAAAACCTGATCACAAAGCGTAATCTTGTGTTTGACGCATGCGGGTGATAGAACTGCATTCCTCAAATTCTTCACATTTTTATGAAGTCATTTTCATGCACTGCATTTTCCCTAGCAGGATTACTATCCCGTGTTGGAAAAATGACTAGAAAAACATGCGTATCTCTGTGGAAAATCCCTAAAAATACCCCAACAAACAAACAAACAAACAAGCAAAAACAGCGCAATGATATTATTATTTAAATAAAACTGTTTGTACTGCTGTCTGCTTCACAGTCTTCGTTGCAACCTTTTTTTTTTATCTATCATAAAAACTGATGAGGATGTGACACGATATGAAACGAAGCTGGTTCTGAGGTGTTTACAAAGAGCAGATTTTTTTGTCTTCTTTGACATTCCTTGGACAAATGATTGATGTAACATTTAAACATTGCTAAAGGTCAGCCAATAACGTGGTCACCCATTCGTCAGATACGCTAAATTAGTATTTTACTGCATGCATATGCATGTCTGTCTGGTGTGGGGTTTTCCAGAATACTGAGACCAGTGCAGCAGCCTCCTTTGTTCCGACTGTGACTGCAATCTCAACATCGCCAGAACTAAAGTGGATTGTGCAGCCTACAGTCATCACATCTGCCTCTCCGTCGCCCTGCCGTGCAAAGCCCAAAACTCATGCAGCGACCCAGTCGTCTTCCCGGCCAGGTGCAAACAAGGCGAGAGCCAGCAACAGGAAAGGGCCGAAAGAGCAGGTAAAGAGAAGAGAGGGGTGAGCGGTGATGCTGATGTGTCAATCAACCAGTCAATCAATCAGTCAGTACAGCGAGCAATCGAGCACTCAGTCTCGATCCCCACATCATCCCCTACGACCCCGTTTCCACTCATTAAGCTTAATGTGAAAACTGAGATATCGCGATATTTTAGCGGGACGGGGACGCAATTAACTGCTTTTTTTCTTTCCCTGTCGTGGGGAAATAAAGTGTTAGCGGATTGATCTGAATAGTTTGCTGCGGGGAGTCAGTCATAAGCCGATTTGATCATGTTTAATTGGTGCAGAGCGGTTACTTTGGCGGGGGTAACGAGCTCAGCCTTGTTTATGTGCGGGATAGGAAATTGCATGCAATGCGCGTTCACGTGACTGGCTAGACCGTGCCAGTGGTGCAGCATTTTAACGCCTGAACTGAGAGTCTTCACCGACCACATCAGCATTCACTGCATAGGAGATTTTTTTTTTCTCTCTCACTTTGGCACAAGAAACGGTGTTTAAGAGCCAACTGCCGACATGGCAAGACTTAGTGGGATGAGCGTTTAAATTAATGGGCTATTTCTGATTGATTTTAGCCTTCCAAAGAGGAGGAGGAAAGGAGGAGGATCAGGAGGGAGAGGAACAAAATTGCGGCAGCCAAGTGTCGTAACAGGCGGAGGGAGCTGATAGAGACCCTTCAAGCTGTAAGTAATGCTTTGTTAAATCATTATAGAGGATTCATTCTCACAGTATATGCATACTTCCAAAGATAAATAATGTCTCAGTTCACAACAGCGAAGCAGAGCGGTAGAGCCACATCGTTGTTTTGTTTTGTTTAGGGGTTTTTTGTGCTTTGCTCATGCGCTTTTCTTTTCTCTTTCTCCCTCTTTCCCTCAGGAAACTGATACTTTAGAAGAAGAAAAGTCCACCCTGGAGACAGAGATTGCCAACCTGCTGAAGGAGAAAGAGAGACTAGAGCATGTCTTAGCTTCCCACCAACCGTCCTGCAAACTCTCCTCAGATGATGACGGCAATGGTGATGATGATGAGGGGAATGATAAGGAAGATGATGTTGACACAATGCTGCAGGATCCACCGAACTCCCCGCAGCTGCTTTCCATTTTAGAGAATGGAAAAACCCCAGAGAGCAGCACAGCTGGAGAAGCCCATATTGGTCAAGACATGAGCAGCGTCCCTTGCATCCCTGCTGCAGCCATCTTGGGAAACTCCAACATCCTTCTGTGTTCCAGCGCAGAAGAGGAGGCTCTGGAGGAACTGAAAGGAGATGACTTGGATGACTTGGTGCCCAGCATACAGATGGAAGTGACGCCCGAGACGGCCGCATCTGTCCCTGACATATTACAGAGTACTGACCTGAGTGGGCCCTTCTGCCTCTCAGACTGGGAAACCCTGTACAAGTCCGTGGCAAGCGACCTTGAGTCTCTGAGCACCCCAGTCATGTCTTCCAGTCCCACTTGTAGCAATTACCGCACAGTGTTTTCCTTCAATCACTCCGAGATTGATTCCCTGGCTGACGGTTCCGAGTGCCTCAAAGGCAGCCTCGGTGCATCCGAGTTAATGAAAGATAGTCTTAACTCGCCCACACTCCTGGCCTTGTGAATGCAAAGAAGTTATGCAACAATACTGTATTCTAACCAGCCAGCAAGCTCCAGTCGCTCTCAAATAACCTTTTGTAGTGTGAGTTTCGATGTCGTGCATATACCTGAAAATCAGAGATTGTGTAGACGCAGTGTTTTTCTGTGACTGTAAACACGGTTGAGTTCTTCCATGCTGTTGCTGCAGTTGTCTGAGATGAGACCTTGTGCTAGTAAAATGCATGCAAATACAAGTCATCTGTAATCCAAGAAGAGATGGTATTGTGTTGTTAAAAAAAAAAAAAAGCTCTGCGTGTGGTCTGAAACGAGATCCTGCTGAGTAGCTTAATATATGTGTAACACTGTTTTTGACAAAGCTGTGTTGTAACAAGTGAATTATAGAAGGATACTAATATGTAAGTGTAACATCTTGCTGTAAGGTGCCCCCCCTCCCCCCGCCTCCAGACCTGAACTGACATTTCCTTTTACATTTGTTTTCCATGAAAAACAAGATCATGCCATGTATTTTATTGAGATGTATTTTATGACATAGTTTATTTTTTTACTTATGAAAATATAGAGATGCAAAAAAAATCAACAACAAACAAACAAAATCAGAAACAAAAGAAAACTAGAAACTAGATATTGATAAAATATGCTGGAAATAAAATACCACAACTGCAATTAATGCTGTGCTGCTGTTGTTATTGATTTAGAAGCATTCATATGAATAGATAGTCAGCACCACAGCCTTGCTTAGTTGGTGACTTTACATGAAGTTCCTCAGCAGATGAAGAAACCATGAGATGCCTTAGAAATGTGGTGGGAGGGGGACGAAGAAAAGCTGAACACCTTCAATGCAAACTTCATTTGTAATAAAACTGCTTTAAACCCCGTTTAAATATGAATCTGACCTACCAAACACTCACTAAAACGTCAGAAGAAGATCCTAAATTTAAGGGTGGCATTAATGATGTTCTCGTCTCAGTAAACCATAAAGACGGCATTGCGCCTATTTCTGGCTTCGGGATTACATAAAGGAGACGCGTCGTGGACGGAGACGTGTTTGAATTGAGTGGGAAGCAGCGCAAACAGCAGGTTAATTATTTATTCACAGCCTGCTCTCTGCTCCACTATTGTCACGGTCAAGGGAATCCGAGCGCACACACGGCAGCGCAATGCGTGCTGTGCGTGACGTCAGCACGCGATTGCCGTTTCGTTTCATTTCCTTTGACCATATTTGGGTTGTTGCAGTTGTTTTGTATCCATAGAAACGGGTGTTAAATTTCAGAGCTGGAGAAGAAACGATCCAGAGGAGAGCGCGAGCCTCATTAAAGACCAAGTTTCTCATCAATTACGGAGCGGGTCGTCACGTGACTGACGATAAGCGGTGCAGTCGGTAATTTAGCGGTGCCGAGGCATTTCTCGGAACAGCAAACGAAGGGTTTAATGAGGGATAAACCACTATGATAGTGTTTCAAGCTTGCAGTAAGCACGTTCATCCCAGAGGATTACTTTTTATCCTTTTTTACTCATAACACAAAGTCCTTTGCAACAAAGCGCACGGCTTGCATGTCATGCCTTAACAGTGAACAGTGCAGTTCTTCTTTTCATCAGTAGGGGTGGCTACAGCGAGAGCAACAGCAGAGCAGAGAACTTGTCATGTAATGAAGGGTGCAGGGCTTTCACTTCCCCCTTTGAATACCTCAGTTGTTACGTTTGCACAAACAGACCTAACCAAATCGAGTTGTTCATCTTTAGAAGTTATCAGTGATACTCAGGAAAGCATGCGATCTGCCTGTTATATAAGATAAAATAACCTTTATTAGTCCTACACGTGGGAAATTTGTTATTAGGGTTATCTTATTAAAATGATCTTATATTTAAGTCCTCTTACTGTAATTGACGCAGCTCAGTTTTAGTGTATCTGCTAGGGTATTTGTGGACTTGAAGGGACTCGGTTTACAGCATGCATATTTGGTTGACCGGTAAATCTAAGCAGGCCACAGGTGTGGATGTGAGAGTGCAGCACATCTGGAGAGTATTCGCGGTGCTTCACTTGTTTCACATTTTGTCATGTTGCAGCCTTATTTAAAATGGATCCAATTCATTTTTCATCTCAAAATTCTACTCTCGATATTCGCTTGAAATTCTCGCAAATTTATTAAAAAATAAATGTACAGAAGTATTCACAGCCTTTGCCATAACACTTAAAATTGTGCTCAGGTGCCCCCTGTTTCCACCAATGATCTTTTAGATGTTTCTACACCGTGATTGGAGTCCACATGTGGTAAATTCAGTTGATTGGACATGCTTTGGAAAGGTACACGCTTGTCTATATAAGGTCCTACAGCTGAAAATGAATGTCAGAGCACAAATGAAGCCGTGAAGTCCAAGGAATTGTCTGTACACCTCCGAGACAAGATTATACCAAGGCACAGATCTGGGGAAGAGTACAGAAAAACTTCTGCAGCAATGAAGCAAAGGCTGTTAATATTTGTATACACGTTGTATTTTTGTCTTCTGTTGTTAATAAATTAATAAATTATGGGGTGTAGTGTAGAATTTTGAGGTGAAAAAATAATTGCATCCACTTTGGAAAAAGGCCGTAACAGGACAAAATGTGGAACAAGTGAAGCACTGTCAATACATTCCAGTTGCACTGTATACGACACTTGTAGACAAAGTCCACATATTGGCACTGTGAAACTGACTGACATGGCATTAAGGATGAGTTATTTTACTTTTAAGATATTTTCTGAATGTTTATTTGCAACAGTGATGCATTTAAGCACAAACACTGTAATAAACCGAGGTCATTTCTCAAGAAATAATGTACATTTCAAGCTTTGCCTTGAATGCCTGATCTGCTGCTGATAAATTGTTTGTGGCTGGTTCAACGTTTTTAATGGTGCATAAACCAATCTAATTAATTTGGAAGTGCCAGCAACATTCACCTTTGCAGATATTAGACAAACTTCAGTTCAGTGTTTCTGAGGGTCCTGTATGCTTTTCTTCACCATTTATCTCACGACTAAACTTCTTGTTCTTCTTTTTATATATCAACTGTGTGCGTGTGATGTCCTGGCGCATGGCTATTTCAGAGCGCTGACGGATGGGCCCGTCAACAGCTCTGATGCTTCGTGACTCACTCACTCCGTCCACTCCACTTGTTCCATCAAAGTATGTGTGTCCAGCAGCGTGATGCTTCTCACCTCCAGAAGCCTGTTTCACAGTTGTACCATATCAGAGAGCCAGAATTGTTCACGACCAAACTTTGTGTGCGAAATGTGAGCGGTAGGAGTTTTTATTTTAAGAGTGGGATTGAGGCCAGGGATTGCTAAGTGAAAGAAGTGTTTTTTTGTTCTCTAACTTGAGCTAAGAAAAAGTAGCAACGTCATCAGAATGAGAAGTGGTGACGCTGCAAGCATTAAAATATGTTTGCAACAATAACAGTTTTTTAGGCATCAAATGCAAGCACAGAAATGAGCCCTTTCATTGTTATATGTTTTTTATCGGATATTTATTACTGATGCATCATGTAGCATACTGTATGTTGTACAAGCAGCATTCTTAGGAGCTTGGACAGAAAGACTTCTTTAAGTTTTTTGAATACGTTTTTACATTTGATGGGGTGAGACAGTAGTTTCACCCGAAACCTCTGCTGATAATGAACCACGCCTTTTTTCACACTTTGGTTCATGTGATAAGGCAGATGATTAATAGTGAGTCAAAGAGCAACTTAAAGGACAACACTCACTGTCCGTCTTTTGGTTTTAGAACCGATGAAGCCTCTTAAATAAGAGGTGAAACATCTTTAAGAAACTTGAAGAAGTCCAGTTGCTTTCTTTCCAAGCTCCTTAGACTACCATGACCTGGATGAGCACTTAAACAGACATTAGCAGTAGTATTATAACACTGAAGCTGATCAAAGGTGCCTATTTATCTGCAGCATATTCATAAACCCATAATATATTTTATAAACTGCTTGTTTTTGTGTAAAATCTCAGTCTGTACAGCAGCCACAATGATCACATTAGAGACATTTAAATGTAGCATAAAATCCAAACCCCTTAATTCATGCATCCAAATCATTGAATTCAGGGGTTTCAATCACTTCCATGGCCACATGTGTTTAAAATCAAGCACTCAGGCATGCAGACTGCTTCTACAAACATTTGTCTAAGAATGGGTCGGTCTTAGGAGCTCAGTGAATTCCAGTGTGGTGCCGTGATAGGATGCCACCTGTGCACCAAGTCTAATTGTGAAATTTCCTCACTACTAAATATTCCATAGTCAACTGTTAGTGTTATTATAACAAAGTGGAAGCAATTGGAAATGACGGCAAGTGGAAAGTTTGGTAGAGGGGGGGATTATGTTGTGTTTTTATTCTTTTTAGAAGTTGCACTTGACTCCTTAGGAACTAAGGGGTCAAGTCCCAGCTTTATGAGTTTGGGAAAAGTCTCCATCCTGTTCCAATATGACTGTGCACCAGTGCACAAAGCAAGGTCCATAAAGACATAGATGATCAAGTCTGGTGTTGAAAAACTTGACTGGCCTGCACACTCAGCCCAACTTTGGGATGAGCTAGAACAGAGATGTGAGCCAGGCCTTCCTGTCCAACATCAGTGTCTGACCTCACAAATGCACTTCCTATAAGAATAGTCAAAAATTCCCATAAACACTCCTAAACCTTGTGGTAAGCCTTCCCAGAAGAGTTGAAGCCGTTATAGCTGCAAAGGGTGGGTCGACATCATATTAAAGCCTTTAGATTAAGAATGGGATGTTCCTCAAGTTCATATGCGTGTGAAGGCAATATAGTGTAGGTGTTTGGAAAATCTTCTTTATTACAGATTATTTCGTATTAAAGTGACTAATCATATCACATTAATCAAATAATGTAAACATTTATTTTACTGCACTACCGTCATGCTTTTCTGTTTTGGTTATATCTTTGGTGGTTAAACATAATGCTGCCTGTGGTGGAAGAAGTAACCATATCTCGATAAAACAATAGCACCACAGAAAACTGCATAAAGCATTCTTTTTTGGTACCTGAAGGAAAAGCAAGAATAAGCAGCATTGATTTTCTAAGTTGATGTGACAGTAGCATTAGGCATTCAGCAACATCTATGAGCTGCACCTCCCCAAGGCTTTTCCCGTTGGAGAAGAGGTGGGCATGTTCAGGCAGATTCAGTCTCCTCTTGCATCACCTGTAAATGCGAGAAAAGCTTAATCTTGAAGCTCAAGTTCAATAACCTTACCGTCAAACATGTAATCTTAAACTGTCCCTAGATCTAGGTGGCAAGAATAAACAAAAAACTCCCACCTGAGTGTACAGCTAAATATATTATTTACACCTCTGCCTTACTCTGACTTGTTTGAGTGTTTCCTGTGTAAAAGAGCCTGCGGGCATGTAGTTTGTTTTTAATGTACTGCATTTGGGATTTGATAATAATCAAATGTTTGCATGTTAACAGCTTTATAAAGACTTAATCCAACATCTGTGCACATTTATAAGCTCAGCTGCAGGCTGGTTAGCTGCTACTTTCCACTTATATTGCTTAGACAAAGTCTCCACTTTCAAATCTTTTCTTTTAAAGATTTGAACAGATTTGTGGCAGCCTTGTGTTTTTTTATGTGGCCATGTGGTATTTACATATGTTTCTGTGTGTCTGTGTTTATAGTTGAACTTAGATGAATTGAGCGAAACATGAAGAAGCTCGAAAGCTTTCAGGTTGGACTTATTTCCAGCGATATCAGCCCCCTGTAGTATGTCTCACATCGCTTGCCTCGGTTCCAGATTTCCATCTTTCTGTTATTCATCACGTTGCTCAACGTTTCCAGCTCTGTTATCTCACATACCTTCTTACCAATCTGTTTCCTGCTTGCCGTCATATTCCCGAGGAAGTGCTATATTTGCAGGGATAAATCAATGTCATGTACTTTTTGGGAAAGGTTAGGTCACCTGATATGGGTAATGTTGCCAACAATGGTGCTGGTACGTGCGTGAACTCACTGTCTCCTTCCAACTGCAAGATGGCACTTTCAGTATTACATCAGAAAGATCTTGTGCTGATTCAGGAGTTTATATTGAAATGGCTGACTTGTTCTTTTCTTGAGTACCAAACGAATAAGTTGCCACACATACACAAACAGATTTGGATTGTTACAGGAAGGGAAAAATGTGCTTCTTGTAGGATTTGATGCACCATGATATGGGAGGAAGATTAGTGTTATGATAGATGAGTCTGTTGTGAAAGAGAGATGAAGTGTGTAGTTGGCTTGATTTCCGTGAATGGAGTCTGCTAAAGCACCACATGTAAGCATTTCTGTGTGTTACACCTGCTGCTGCATTGTAAATGCTTCAGTTGGTGTACTCCTTAATGTTGGCATGTCGCCACAAGAGTCAAAGTATGAACAATGTGACGCTCGCTGAATAAACTGTGACAAAACAAGAATTTCCATTTGCTCCGGTGCTGTCAGAAAATGGGAAATGTCATTCTGTAGTAACACAGTATTTCCAAAGGCTGGCAAAACTCAGGACATCTGTGATAAAGTTTTAAATAACCTGAGCTGTCGTGTGAGTCTTCGCACAATTAATAGACACGTTATGATTTAGTCTACAACTGTCTGAGATTCTTGGGAAAGAAGAAGAAAGGAAGGAAGGAAATCAAATGGAGTAGTGTTAAAAATAACATTTAGTGTCTGCAGCGTGGAGGTTAATGAGTCAGATTTTGTGTCTGGAGGTGTCTGGTTCACTGGGTATTTCCCAAAGATGTGCTGTTGGATAATATTACAGCAAAACATTTAACCTACGGAATTTATTCAGGCCAAGGGTTTGGAAAAGATAAGATGGAAAAGTGTGACTGAACTTGTTTATCAATTTTAGAATGTGATGAAGACTTGGAAATGTAACAAATGATTAGAAAGACAGAAAAAAATAAATAAAAATGCTTACTTGCTTTTGGCAAAAAATATTTGGTTTTGCTTTACCTTGACTTCTGACGCCCACGTACTATGAACTCTGCACGAGTTTGGCAGAGCAGCAAAACCACAAACTCCACTCACTCTCCATTAATCAGGGTGGCAGCTGCTCAAAAGTGCACCCGAGTTCGTGCTTTAATGCAAAGCAGGATTGCAGCAGACAAATAATAAAGCTCTTTATAGGCAGGCGTTGAGGTACGATTGCAAAGGTTTAAACAGGAAAGTAGCTTTAGAAACGTTGTGGTTTACACATCCTGAGACAGACCTGGATTTTCTTTACCAGCACCCTTTTTGGTCATTCCTGTGCACTGTTACACGCTCACTAAAGATCTTTTTCCTTTAACTAACGTGCTCTACACACTTGCCTGTATACCACGTTGTGTTATTTTCTTAGTTTCATTATCAAGGCTCATTGTTTTTGTGAGTAACGGCTCTGTCTTCGAATGTCAAATGTGCACCATGTGTGTTCATGTAGTGAGTGACATTTCTGGCTGCCTCCCTGCAGGCACAAAGGAACCCGGCTGAAAGCCTACACCTGCAAAGGGAGTGCTACCTCTGTTTTAACCACAGACGTCCAGGACCCTCGTGTTTTATAATAATCCGTCTGGTCATGGACTCAGTTCTGCTTTATTAACTCCAAATGTCTCCCCTAAAAATTTGTCATCTGCGTTAAGAGCGACTCTGACGCATAGTCGGCCCCGACCTGCCGTCAGATGCGAGGCATAAATCACAGCAGAGAACCAAATTAGAATCTAAAAAAAGGAACAGAGCGGGGCATTTTGGTGAGCCTCCAATAACTCAGCCGCTTTTTATAGGTCGAACAGTTGAGCTGGCATTGTGCAAAACCAAAACTGAGCCTAAGCTGATGTTGAAGATAAAAACATGACACGCAACAAGAGACACTGAGGACGGCTTGATGTGTTAAGATAAGGTGCTTTTAAAGCAGTTTGAAGACTTACCAGAAAACAATAGCAGTGTTTGGGGGTGACAGCGCTGTTTACATCCATTTTCAAATTGTGGCACAACTTCTCAGCTGTATCTGCAATGTATAAAAGGAGATGCACAACTCAACACTGCGATAAAGTGAAAGAGGGCAAAAAGCAACTCCTTATAGTGGCAACAGTTTGTTTGTAGCCTTTTAAAACAATAACTGCACGTCCCTATAAGTAGAAATGTCCAGTTAGATGTAGTTTCTGTTGCCCACAGTAGAGGGAAGCATTAGGAAGAGGCTTTCAGAACTTTCTGGAACCACCTTTAGAAATATTTCAGCACAATTTTGTTCACGGTTGTTTGGGTTTTTTTTCTCTTTTATGCTCAATCAGGACAAGGAATGAATAAAGAAAACAAAAATGGTCTTTCAGGGTAGCTATTGTGCAAATAACGTGCAGGACTGACTGTATTATTTGTGCAACAAACTTCCTTAACCACATTTTTTTTTTTACCTTCGTGTTGAACTTTTCTAAGAAAAGGTATGCTGCAGCTGCAGCTGTACCTTTGAGAGCTAAAAGGGTAAAGGGTGAAAAAAAAGGTGAAAGAAGCGCAGTGAAACTGTGGTGCCAACTCTCCAAAAAACACCTTCAGTTGTAGTTATGTTTATGACACAACAAGGAAACTGAAGTAGAAACTTGACAACTGAAAAGCAAGTTGTCAGATTAAATTGAAAACAACAGAAATGACCTTAAATATCCTCTGAATTATACTGCTGTACTATAGTTTTTCCCTTAAAAAACATAAATCCCCTAAAAATATGTATGTGTCCTCTGTAAGTAGTGTACTTTATTGAATAGGCAGATCATACGCAATCCAGGCTTCAAGTTTCCATATGACAGAGCTTAAAGAAGCCTATTTACAAACTAAAAGTGAAGTCAGAGATTCTGCTCATTAACATGCACGTTAAAATCAGATATGAGGTTGGCACAAACTTTCCACTTTCATTCTCCACAGCAAACATGAGATCTTAGTTTTCAGTGGAAGAGTTCAAAAACATTTAATCTCCAGATGTTCAGTTGAGACTTTTTTTTGTTTGGTTCTTTGTTTGTAGGCTGCAAGACTCCAATGTCAGCATTCCCTTTGTGAGGCTATGCTCAGACTAGGTTTTTCCAGGTATTTACATAAAAATATTTTTTAAATCTATGCTCAGTCAATTCATAACACTTCTGCAAAAACACTGCAGGCTTGTGTGATCTACTCAGCAGTAATATCACTTTAATAAAGATATTAGTACATGCAAGCAGTATATATGCACCACGTAAGAATACCCAGGTTAAATAAGTGCTCCCACAAGAGTAGAAAGATTACTTGAATTACTACGTTTAAGTTTTTTCCTTCTTCTTTCTTGTGAATACTTGTTAATGCTCATATTTTTTGTAGTCATTTTTATCTTCATTCATCAAGTGCAATCATATAATCTAAGAGACACGGAACAGGAAGGAAAGGCTGAGGTATGTCAAATTACACAAGACTGAGAATCAGTGGCAATACGTCTTATGGACTGATAAATCCAAATTTGACGTCTTTGGATCAAATCATTGTTGACGTGTGGTGAAGAGGTCAGGGGAGAGGTGCAACAGTGAGCGTCTACAGCCATCTATAAATCACAGGGCAGGTCTGTCAGTCAAGAGTTCAGGCTGTGTTGAATAAAATATGAATATTGTGTTTCACTCTTGGTAGAATTGCACAAACTCCCTTTTCAGTTTTTGCCTTTTAAAGTGCATTTCCATTTATATTTGTGTGTTTCAATAAAACAGTGCACATATGTGCTGTTTTCCCAGAAAAATATAAAGAAATTGGAGCTCCTTCAAGATTTTTGCACAGTAGTTTATATCTTATTTATATTCAAATGAAAAACAACAGAAGGAAAGGGGAATGTTAGAGGCCTTATTGGTCACAAATCAATACATTTTCATATGCACTAAACTGGTAAGTCATAATTAAACCATGCATGGATTGCTTTCATATCTTTGGGCCTCTAAAAATGTCTTAAATCAGGGATGTCAAACTGATTTTACATTGTGGGCCACATACTTTGATCTTAAGTGGGCCAGACTAGTGAAACTCACCTTTCTGTCAGAGTAAACACAAATTGAATTTAAATATCTTAGAACTGAAGAAGCTTCTCAGATGAGAGGTGAAACCTCTTCAAGAAACTTGAAGAAGTCCAGTCAAGTTTCTTAGATTACCATGACCTGGATGACTGAGAACCTTCACAGACATGCAAATGGAATCCTTAAGATATCATAATATGAGAAAAACAAGTGTGATTTTAACAGCAGGTTACAGTTTTCTACCTGAAAAAGAAATGCTACTGCAGTACATCTGTCAGCACAACTATATGGACTTAAATTATAAGAAATAAATGAAAGATAGAAGGTTCTGTAATTTGACCAGACTGCCCTGTAATTATATAAAAAATGTGTTGTTGTTTTTTTTTTTGTTAATTTACAAAAAAAAAAGCAGATGGTGCTATAAAAATCTAACTTTACCTTTAAATTGTATTATTCTATTATTATATCTAGTAATTATATTGCTTAATTACTCAGGCCAATCTGGATGGCCATGGGTGGGGTCGTTATTAATAGGAAAAGCTGTAAAACGTACTAAAATAAAGTTAAAAGTCCGAAGTTTGTGATCTCTTTCACATTGTTCAAAGCCATCCAGTAGGCGGGACTGAAGTCTTTGCACAGGCAGTCTCTGCCCCCCTGGGCCTTATGTTTGACATCCCTTGTCTTAAATTAACAATGACTATGAAAATCTCTTTGTGTGTGACTTGTTAGCGCTGCACGTACTGATACAATTGATAAAAACTATCACATTTCAACATAACCTTTTTATTATAGGCTATAAATAACTTACTACTTGGACTGGTAGTCTATATTTTTGTTGTTGGCAGTGCCAAACACCCGCAGCTAAGATGAGTGCGGTGTGTTTACAGTCACAATTTTATTTATTGACTCGTTTATTGCCGTGGCAGGCGTGTATTTACCCGGGAGTGCGTATCTCTTTCTCTCCGTGTGTCCTCCGGGCTGAAACTTTCCTCTCTGCAGTCTGTGTATGTTTTCTTGTTGCTATGGGCGGGGCCTCAGTCGTCCTCCTATTTTCATCCATGCTTACGTCTGACGCAGCAGTTCCGCATTCCTGAGCCGAGTTCAGTACTTAAACGGGCTGATGCAACGACCTCACTTAGTCCCAAAACCCCACATCCGACTCCTGACTCCCACACGGTCCTCCTAATACTGCGGATTTTTTTGGACCTACAACAGGTAAGTGTGTTAGCGAAGCGTCGAGATATGTGCTGCCGTTGCCTCCTAGTCTTTGTTTCTGTGTTCGTATTTAGCTAAAATGCCAGGCTTCGTGTTTTTGCATTTTTCTCACACTTTTTTCACTACGTGTAGACATTTACCACACATGCATTTTTTCCTCGGTATGTATTACAAATTCCCGTGAGAAATTTATGTACGTATTCCTATATTAAAACCTACTGTCACTCAACTGCTCGGGAAAGTCCTAGTTTCCTTACAGTTTTAAAGTTTTCCGTGCTCCTACCGCAGAAGTCAATTTGTTGCGTCCGCAACCATTAAGCCCGTTGTTGTTACAACTGTTGTAGCAACTGTCGCTTTATAGCTCGTTATTTACAGCCTCGTTAGCTAAATTATAGCCCGCTTGTGTCAGGGTGTATTTTCATCTCGGGATTCTTCCTTTCTGTGTTGCTAAACTCAAGCGTCGGTTAGCTTTCTGAAGACAGTTATGCAACGGCTTACACTCATTGAGAGTTTCAAAGTTAACCGCTAGCTACGCTAGCCTGTTACAGCGAGCTACATGGCTCTGCAAGGCTGTACCCTTTCACTTTCAGCAAACATGTGTCTGAAAAGTTTTTGTACAGTCATTCTGTGCATTAGCGTTAATATCAGACGGACTCTTAGTCCAGTCCAGCTTCTCCATGCAAAAAATTTGCAGGGAGCTGTAAGATAAGACGTGCAGGTCAGGTCTGCAGAATTAACACCCATTATTTATTTTATTCCTGTTTGGTTTGTCAGCCCCAAAGTCATTACATTATAATAACATAAAACAGAAACAAAACGGGGGAAACGAGAGAAAAGATTTTTTTTTTTTTTTTTGTCGGATCCTTAAAACTGTCTTTAACATGACATTTTAACAACAAAATAAGGGGTCCACTGGAGATTGTAAAACTTTCCAAACAAAGTTGCATCAATTTAAGACAAATCTAGATGTGATTAATCAGAGATGCTCTCTTGAGAAGAAAATGTCTTGGTGCTGTTAGCTCACCGTGAAATATAAGTAATGCAAATGAAGTGTGAGATTTCTTCGGGAGCATGCGAGTACAGCCAAGAATGTGTGTTCATATTGGCTTACATTTGTAGTCTTTGCTTTGGCCCCCAAATGCTTGAGTGTAGTTTTCTGGGAGCTGAGAGGAAACTCTGTTTGTGTGTAGGGGGGGTGGGGGTTGTGTGTGTGCATGCGCGTGGTGCTTAAATGTATATTTGCATATCAGATAAACATACTCCAGCCCTTGACTTTTTTTTTTTTTTTTTACTACAGCGACTGTTTTCCTCTTGCTGATGGTGTGAGCTACTGAAAAACACGCCCTTATCAACTTCTTATAAAAAGATTTACTGTATATGTAACTGTATCCAGGCCAGCTTATCTGCCCTTGTTGACCTCAAGGTTAGAGGCCAATCGTGGTATTGGAAAAATGATTGGTAGGGGATGGTTGTCACTTGCAAGTTCATAGGTTCAGCTTTTTCCTATATGGAGGTACATACCGTTCAGCGGGTGCAGCGTACAGCTATATGCCACGCAGGGGGAACTATTTGTGTGTGCTCTTTATACACTGTATGCTTCCTTTGTGTCTGTGTCTGTGTTTGTGTGGGTCTAAGTGAATGAGCATGTTGTAGAGGGTTTAAATGCCCCAGCGCCTGCCTGGGCACATCCGTAGGATGGTTTCTGCATAAATGGAACGCTGCAGTGGATTAATGGGGAAGGGCTGGCGAGCCGACAGGCAGCGCGGGGCCGACGGGGCTGTGAGGCTGGACGTGGGCGCACAGAGTTTATTTTAAGTAGAAATGCCTTCCAGTGTGTCTCTGGAGAGCTAGAATTGCCAAGCTGCACCTCAGTACACTCAATAGACAGCAGACGCATTGCAGGCGAGCGAGCCAACTATGCAACAGCCAGGCTCAGTGGTGCTAATACTAAAATGCTGGGGGAGTAGCCATTCACTGCTATGGGTATCACATTGTAGTCCCCCATAAGCCTTTCCACATGGTTTGTAAAAACCTTTTTGCCAAGGAGACTAGATGCAAACTGTGGAAGCAAACAGCCGCATGTCCAAAGGTGTAACTGAGAGAAACACTGGTATTTCTTATAAAAGGACCCTTTAGAAAAAAAAAAGGTTAATGGAACCCCTTGTGTTAAATGTGGAGCTAAACATAAACCTTCTAGCTTCTAGTCTTTGAGAGGAATAAAAGCACTGAACGGCTTGTTTGATCGCTCCAGAGTCTGCACTGTACAAGTGTCTGCTTGACATGAGGCGGATGAGGAAACACTAGAGGACAAAGTATGAAACCTCATTAAAGTGACAACCACAAGTTACATAAGAACTGAGATTGTTTCAACAGGCAGCATTAAATCTAATTTTCTGGACTTGGTTGGCCAATATCATGTTGTCAGAGATTGCACAGGACTTGTCTTGGATTTGTCATAGATGTGAAATCCATACGTTTAAAAAGGCTTTTGCCAGCATTTTGCATTTTGACTCCTTTAATCCGTGTCTGAGCCGAGCCTAAGCTTTGTGCCATGCACAGTCTAATCTTGACTTACAGCATGGAGGAAAAATAGTAACGTTATAATAACTCGACCAGGACCACCCAGATGCAGAATATAGATGTGCGACTGTTTGAATGGCACGAAGCAGGCCAAGCAGGAACACAGCCAAAGATCACATACTAATGTTTGAATGATGGCAGCCACAGCCTGCATGCTTTGTGCATATCTGCAGGTGTTTAGTGTTTGGATTTGCCTGGAAAAAATGTCGTTCTCAGGTCAAAGTCTGCAATAAAATGGAGCAGTTAAATTGGGCTTCTCTTGTGTAATTTCAACAAAAGATAAGCTCTGCATGTGCTGCACTCCATCCCACTCACTCCAAACTGTAAAGGAAAAGTATTGCTACTACTAGCTGTGGACTGAATTGCTTTGGGAGTATTAAGTCAATTCCATAAGAGGAATTTCTGGTAAAGTTAATTTTGTCTCGGCAGCTATTTAACCCACAAGAATACCCCCCC